GCTGTGACACACAGCACTCTACCAAGGACGAAAAAAGTGAGACTCTGTCTCTAAAAAAAAAAAAAGGAAAACAAAACAACAAAAAGGACAACATAGGGGGATCTTGTGTGACAGCTGTTATGCACCCCTACTGTAGAGGCACCTCACCCATCTACACATATGACCAAATTGCATAGAACTAAACACAAAAATACATACGATGCGTGTCAAATGGGTTAACAGTTGTATCACCAGCAATTTCCTGGTTGTGACATTGTACTACAGTTACTCAAAATGTTTCCGGGGGGAAAACTGGGAGAAAGATTTACAGAATCTCTCTGAATTATTTCTTATAACTACAGGAAAATTTACAATTACGTCAAATTAAAAGGTTTTACTTTAAAAAAAAAAGACCTCAAGCTATATTAATGTAACGCAAGAAAGTAGTCCCACAGAATATGAATGAAATTAAATGTAATTTCCATCTAAATACAATTGAAGGGGTTGGGTCCGTTTTTTAAGAGGTGGGGGGAAATGCAAAATAAATTTTCCAAAATTCTTCATGACAAAAAAATAAGAATATCCTTTGCAAAGAAAATTTGGGGAAAACATCTTATGGGGCAGAGTAGCCCTGCCAGATGAAGGCATTCCAGAGCTACAACAACAGAAACGCTACATATTGGGGAGAGACAAGCGTGGCACATGTGCAACAGAGTAAGTATCCCAGCGCAGACTCGATTATATCTAAAAGGAAGGAATTTATGGCAAAAGCATTTTTTTAAAGGTCATTACGAGCTTATAAGTTAAAGATGGAATTCTAGATCGATAATTCAACTCACTTCTTTCTAGTTTCCTATCCAACATTCACTTTCTATAATGAAAGAAAATGTGAAGCCAGCCCTTGACAGCTCCCTGCAACTTCTAAGAGTTACGGCAGAAAACAGCACAGGTGATCGCAGAGCGCAGAGCACGGGACATACCCATGCGGGTTGAGGACCTGCCACTGCGTGTATCCAAAAAGATCAACCTCACACGATTAATGCAGGAGAAAAAAACAAGTTTGGGGATGATATTCTAGTCGAGTATGTCTTATCTGAAATGCTTGGAATGAGAAGGGTTTGGATTTAGATTTTTTCAGATCTTCAAGTATTTGCATATAGATACATAATGAGATAACTAGGGGTGGGCCCAGGTCCAAACATGAAATCCATGTGTGTTTCCGATGCACCTTACCCACATAGCTTGACAGCAATTGCACATAATATTTTCAATAATTTTGTCCACAGAACCATTTGTGTACATTGAATCATAAGAAAACAAAGGTGTTGCTGTCTTAGCTACCCGTGTGGACAGTCTGAGATTATTTGAATCATTCTTGACTCTGAATTTATATATTTTCTTGCATTTATTCATACAGAGGATCTAACAGTAAAACAAGAACATGACATACCATCAATGGAGTGAAAAAGTACTGTGTCCAGGGTGACTGGGCACAGAGCCAGGAACACCTGGGTGACCTCGGGCAACAACAAAGGGCCCCACCTCCCGACTCCACCCACCAGGCTGCGCTGGGACTGAAAGGTCATTGCACCTGTATTTTTTTTTTTTTTTTTTTTAGGTTAGAAGAAACAACAGAAGCAATTGAGGGATCAGGAAGTGTTCTGGGATCTAGGGAGAAGGAAGTGTCCTGCTGGCTTTTCACAATATTTCCTCAGTCATCTGCCTCATTGCCAGTGGCGTTTGTCTTTTCTAGAAGTCGCTCTGACTTTTTATGAATTGATATGATTTCGTTTCTTCCTCCTTTTTTTTTTTGAGAGAGTCTCACTGTCGACCTGGGTAGAGTGCTGTGGCATCGTTGTAGCTCTCAGCAACCTCAAACTCTTGAGTTTGAACAATCCTCTTGCCTCATCCTCCCAAGTAACTGGGACTACAGGCACCCACCACTACATCCTGCCAGTTTTTCTACTTTTAGTAGAGACAGGATCCAGCCTTTGCTCAGTCTGGTCTCGCACTCCTGAGCTCAAGCAATCCACCCACCACAGCTGCCCAGAGTGCTGGGATTACAGGCGTGATTATGATTTCTTGTTCTGAGTGCATGCTGTTCCATGTGCACGCTGTTCTGAATGCACACCGTTCCCTGTGCACGCTGCTCTGAGTGCACACAATTCCATGTGTACACTGTTCCGTGTACACTCTGTTCCATGTGCACACTTCCCCGTGTACACTCTGTTCCATGTGCACACTGGTCCATGTACATGCTGTTCCATGTGCACGCAATTCCATGTGTACCCTGTTCCGTGTGCACACTTCCCCGTGTACACTCTGTTCCATGTGCACACTGGTCTGTGTACACAGTGTTCCATGTGCACACTGTCCTATGCATCCTTTTCTTCTCACTTGACATATGGAATTCTTCAAAGTCACCACCTTTTTCATCGTCATCACTGAACACAGTTGCAGGCCAGAGGTTGTATCAGGCATGCATAGGGAGGCTTGTAGCTGACCAGGGAGATAAAGCACAGAGAACAGCACATCTGGCATCCTTCACGCTGGCTCCTTTTCCAGGCCTTCCACACTCATGCCTCTGTCGTCTGCTGCCAGCATGCTGCTCTAGAAAGTGTTTTTATGTTTATTCTTCAGTGGTCTAAGGATACAGCAGTCACATTGCTGATGAGGTCACATTTGAAAGAAAGGACATTATTTTGGACGAGACTTTCAGCTGGGGGATGAGCGGAACAGCTGCTGAGAATCAACAGACTCTCAAGTCCTCATCCAGTCCAGCGTCTCTGTTTTGTTTATGAGCTGCTGATAAAAAATTAAAAAAAAATGTTCATGAAGCCAATCAGAAAAGATGCCCTTCTAATCCATGCCTCTGTTAGCACAACAAAGACGGGTAAGAAATTCACTCATTGGGATGGCGCCTGTGGTTCAAAGGAGTAAGGCACCAGCCCATATGTTGGAGGTGGCGAGTTCAAACCCAGCCCTGGCCAAAAAACTGACAAAAAAGAAATTCACTCATTGAAAACACAAATTCTGCCTGTCACAGGAGCTTACTCTTAACCAGCCTGCTGTATCAGTGAGACCCCACGCAGGGATTCTGTCCCTGGCACCCTTCGTCCCCGCAGAGCTGTCCCCTCAGCTGTACTCAGTGTCTTTCTGGAGCATTAACACACAACAGAGACGCTGCCTCAGCCTGACACACTTGCTCCGGTGTCAGATTTTCATCAGCCACGACCTTGGCGAACTCGTCAATGAATTTCTCTGCTGCTTTGTGAGCAGCAGATGCTTCATCACCACAAATCTTTACAAGTGGAACGCCGTGTCTTTCCTTAAATTCCCGCAACCAGCCTGTGGAATAGGCACAGTCTCTTTCCCCTTCAGCCCCTGGGATAGATGCTGACTTGCTTCATGATCACGGACCGTGAAGGAGCACGAGCTGGCCACGATGCCGACAGAGCCACTCTTTCAATCCGTGCCCGAGAGCTTCATGTTTATTTTATTTTATTTTATTTTATTTTTTGGAGACAGAGCCTCAAGCTGTCTGCCTGGGTAGAGTGCTGTGGCATCACAGCTCACAGCAACCTCCAACTCCTAGGCTCAAGCGTATCCTGCCTCAGTCTCCTGAGTAGCTGGGACCACAGGCACCCACCTCAATGCCCGGCTGTTTTTTGGTTGCAGCCGTGACTGTTGTTTGGTAGGTCCAGGCTGGATTCAAAACCACCACCTTGGGTGTATGTGGCTGGCGCCTTAGCCACTTGAGCCACAGGCGCCGGAGCCTCATGTTTAGTTTTTATGCAGCGTTCTTCTAGCTTTTGGGAACATCTGTTCATCACTTTCAGCACAGAACTCCCAACGGTTTATCTTTCTGTTTCTTCAGGTCATGCCGACACCATCCTCTTCTTTAGGCTGTTCCACACTTACACCGCCATCCAGTTAAACAGAAATGCTTCCTCTTTTCGTTATCTGCTACCCATGCAGGCAACTGCAGCCCTTCTTGATATTTTCACTAAGACCACTACACCACACAGCAGAGAATAAGCAAAAAAAACAGGGAGGAGGCTGGGTGTGGTGGCTCACGCCTTAATCCCAGGACTCTGGGAGGCCAAGACAGATGGATTCCCTGAGCTCACAGGTTGGAGACCAGCCTGAGCCAGAGGGAGTCTCTGTCTAAAAACAGCCGGCGTTGTGGCCCCAGCTACTTGGGAGGCTGAGGCAAGAGAATGGCTTGAGCCCAAGGGTTTGAGGCTGCTGTGAGCTGTGACCCATGGCACTCTATCAAGGGTAACAAAGTGAAACTCTGTCTCCAAAACAAAAATAAAAGTAAATAAAGAAATACACTGAACATTTGTGCCTTTGAGACTCTTTAGGACCACAGGAGTAAGTGCAGTGGTGTGCCCGCATCCTGGGCCAGGCGCAAGGACACACACCTGGGCGTGCAGCCCCAGCACTTATAAGGCTGGCACCTGTACAGCAGGTTCTGCCCTGCCACGGGAGACACCTGGACCACACTGCTCCGTGCCTGCGTTATCACCTGGACCACTGTGCTCTGTGCCTGCGCGTCACCCGGACCACACTGCTCTGTGCCTGCGTATCATCCGGACCACGGTGCTCCGTGCCTGCGTATCACCCGGACCACACTGCTCCGTGCCTGCGTGTCACCCGGACCACACTGCTCCGTGCCTGAGTATCCAAGTATTTCTAAACACAGAAGAGGAGCAGTAAAAACACAGGTGGCTGCCTCAGAGAACCACCAGGTGCATACACCGGCTTTGGTCTTTTCCCACTGTATGTCGGGGGTACAATAACTTCCATTCTTACACCACTAAATTCCTGCGAAGAGAATTTTCTAGTATTATCTCACAGAAGCCTCACAGTAACACCGTGGTATTTTAAGACGCAGCAGACAGAAGCCTGAGAGTCTCTGACTGTCGTGGGTCGGGACCTGCCGGGGGCAGAGCGATCCGGGCTCCGGGAACTTCAGGCTTGATTTGAGATGACAAGAAAGGGAATCTTCACCTGTCAGACAGGCGATGGCAGCCCGGGAGGACTGGCGGGGGTGGGGGGATGAAGAAACGCAGAGACCAAGGTGAGACCAAGGTGACCGCCGGTTCCTGGCCTCCTCCCCACCCCACCTCTTCAAATGTCTGGCACTTTCTTGGGGAGGAAGCCGGCGGCGCTGGCAACCTGAGGCCTTCTGATTTCAAGATTGTTCTTTTGTAGGCACTGAAGGAGGCTCAAAAAAGCTTCATATTTCTCTGCTGCACCTCCTTTAATAAAAAGATTTGTCCCGTCAAAATTGGATTCAGCCAAAAGGCTGTATTTAAGAACCTAGAATGCCCCACGGGGCCTGAAAGTCGCCGGTTCCTCACTCGCGCCCAGGAATCAGGCGAAGCGGCTCGGCGCAGACGCGGGTAGCTGCCACCGCTGGAGCGAGCAGGTGGCTGTGCCGCGCTCCTGCCCCAGGTCTGAGAGCACCAGGCAGGTGACCAAGCACACAGTCCGCCAGCCACACCGCGGCGACACCTCCGTGGTCACCACCCCGCAGGCCTCCGCTGGGAAACGTGGGAAGTTGCGGTGGGAGTTATGGCGGAGACTGGCGGGGGAGGTGACAAGCGCGCGGCGAGCTGTAGCGTGTCCTGGGAAGGCTGCTGTCCGACGGCTTTGCCCTCTCCCTCTGCAGTGGGGACGCTAGACTCCAGGGACACTGGGGAGCCCGGGAGACGAGGAGCGAGGACGAGGAGGGGGACGATCCTGGGCTTGCGCTGGTGAGGGCCAGGGGTCCCCGCTGAGCACGGCCGGCCGCGCTCCTGGGTGGGACAGGGTGGACCGCTGGGGCTCCTTCCCCAGCAGGGGCGGGGATGCTGAGTCACGGATCTGTCACTGCTCCGCACCTCTCCTCAGCCCTCGGGGGCTAAAGCAAAAGCGAAAGTGGATGCGTCTGGCGGGGCGGCCGGTCCCACAGCCGCGCTCGCCACCTCCCCTGGTCCTCGGCGTCGGGGCGTCCGCTGGCACTCCGAGGCGTGAGGCCATGACCTGGTTGCGGCCCCGCGGCTGCCCGGCCGACGCGCTCCCCGCGCTGCTGCTGCTGCTGCTCTGGCCGCCGGTGACTCCGGGTAGGGAGCAGCGTGCTCGGGGCGGGGCAGCGGGAGGGGGCCGGGGCGTCGCGCAGGACCGCACCGAGCGCCGCGCCTCCAGCGCCGCTGGGAGTCGGTTCCCGCAGGGCCTCTGTGCGCGCCCGGTCGGGCCCGGGAGGGGCGGGGGATACGTGCGGTGGACACGTGCGGGGAGCCGGGCGGGACAACTGGAGCGCCGCCGCCTGCGTCCGGCTCAGCTACGGGAGGGAACGGGGCGGCGGAGCTCGGGCTCCGGCAGTCCGGGCAGGACCGCGCTTGTGAACGCCTGAGAAGCCCGCTCGGCCAGGTGGAGGTGCTTGCGCGCGCTTCTCCCGGCGCGCGGGGACAGCTGTGCGCGTGTAGCGCGGCACGCAGACCAAGGGTGGACCCGGGAAAACCTCCGCTCTCTACCCTCCGGCAAAAGTCAGTCATTATAAATGGGGGCTGTGAGGGTAAGGTAGGCACTGCGTCCCTGGGGAGGAAAACCCGAGAGGGGCAACTTGCACAGACCGCTACGGCGTGGAACCACGGCCCATCCTCAGGCGAGCGGGAGACCCGGAGACGGCGCCGAGACGGTGGGACAACCGGGAAGCAGCACCCTCAGGGAAAGGGGGAAGAAATCTGGTGACCGCCTGGGGTATTCCAAGAGGACTTGGGTCAAGGAGATGTCATCTCAACGGGGCAGAAGTAGAATGAATCCTGCGGTTTGTCGCTCGAGCCAGGGGAAGGAGGAGAAAGGGTGGACGGGTCTGGCTGTCTTCTTGCTTAATCCTTTACAACCAAGGAGCTCTTTGAGGGTCTGATGAAAGCTATGAACCCTCTCCCTAGAAAAAATGCATGAATTCACGTAGGTACACAATGCGCACATGATTCTCGGTACTGAAGGCCGTCCCTGGGGTCTCCATGACAGCATCCTCTTCGTGCGATTTTAAGCAAGACTTCCAATAATTTACATGCAGCTAGGCCAGTCTACCCAGGAGGTGGTTAGAGCCCACTCCATCCACAGCTGCTGCTGCATGTCTGAGTCAGAGCCTCCTAGATACACAGGGTTCCATGAAGTTTCATTTTCACCAGACCGATGCTAGGATTTCCCCAACTTCTGAGAAGCTGAGTTATGTCTGTGACCTGGTCAGTTCCTCCCAGCCAGCTGGCCGGGTTCATGCAGGAGCCCAGAGGAGATGCCAGGGATGGATAGGGACAGGGGCAGCTTCTTACACAGCAGGAAAGTGAGATGAGGTGTCTCCCCTGCCGTCCTGGAGCGCAAGGAGGGGGATCTGGGGAGTACACGCCCACACCAGCCCTGCTCTTCCCCTTACAGAGTGTTGATGCCCCCTGGCAACTCTGCTGTTTGGTTTTGGTTTCCCTTAACAGCCTTATTGAAGTGTAATTGACACAGATGATCCCCTGAATATGTTTAAATTGTACAATGTGATGAGTTTAGCGGGAGCACGTACACTCCTGAAACCATCACCACAACCAGGAGGGTAAACATACCTATCACTGCCAAAAGCTGCCTTCCACTCACTCCATCTTCACCGTCCCTCTGTTTTCTGCCCCTGTAGATGTGTGGCACTTTCTAGAATTTATATAAATGGAGGCATATATCCTCCCTCTATTTGGAGTCTTTCCTTGTAGGAATTATTCTCAGAATGTATCCAGTTTGTAACCTGTATTCCTTTCTGTGGCTGGGCAGTACTCCCTGGTTTATGGACACTTGCCTTGGTTCCTGGCACTGGTTGTTGACTGGTTTAGCTGTTCTGTAGGAAGCTGTGATGGCTGTCGACATGCAGGTTTGGGTGAGGTCACACACTTTCTCTTCTCGTGGTGAATGATCAGGAGTCGAGTGGCTGGGTCATGACAGGGGCATGTTTCACTTTTTAGGAAACTGCCAAAGCATTTCCCAAAGTGGCTGCACTATTTCCCGCCTCCTCCTGTTCCTCCACACCCGGCAGGATTGTCTCACTGGATGTGATGCGTCTGCTCACATCTGTCCATTCTGTTGGTCTGACGTGGTCTCTGGTCACTCGAGTCTGTGTCGCCCTAATGACGCCGGTGCTGAGTATCTTTCTCACCTGCTTATTGGCCACATGTGTCTCTTCCCTGTGACATCTGTCCACATCCTCTACCCTTCTGAAAACAGAGTTTTGTGCTACTGAGTTTTGAGTAACACTGAGTTACTGAGTTTTGAGTAACACTGAGTTATTGAGTTTTGAGTAGCACTGAATATTAACACTGAGTTATTGAGTTTTGAGTAACACTGAGTTACTGAGATTTGAGTAACACTGAATTTTGAGTAACACTGAGTTACTGAGTTTTGAGTAACAATGCCTTTATCAGATGTATGATTTTCAAACATTTCCTCAGATCCTGTGGCTTATCTTTTTGTTGTCTTAATGTTTTATAAAGAGCACAAGTTTTCAATTTTGATAAAGTCCAATTTATTAATTTGTTTTTCCACATATTACACTTTTGGTGCCCTATCTGAGAAACCTTTGCCTTGCCTAAGGTTACAACAGTTTTCTGCTATGTGCTTCTCTAAGTTTCTAAGCTGTAGGGCTTACATTTATGGCTGCAGTGCTTTGTGAGTTAATGTGTGTACAACGTGAAGTGTGGGTTGAAAGTCATTTCCATGGAGTTGCTTTTTACATCCTCTCGTTCCAGCACGATTTACTGAGATTATTTTCACCGATTTGCTTAGGCCTTTTGAACCTCAGTTGTCCACCATGTATGGGCTTATTGTAGTATATACAAAATGTCAGATGGACAAAAACAAGTTGTATTTTTACACAGTCACAATGAATAATTGGAAATTGAAATTTTAAAAAATCATTTGTAATAGCACTGAAAAGTATCAAATACCAAATCGAACAAAAAGATGTGAAACATTTGTACACTTAAAACCACATGCCACTGCTTAGAGCAATTGAGGAAAAACTTTATCAGTGGAGAGCAGCGCCAGGTTCACAGGCTGGACACATCCACATCACTAAGGGCTCAAGCCTCCCCAAATCAAAATTTTAACAGGATTTCTTACAGAAATTGACAAACCGATTCCAAAGATCACATGTAAATGCAAAAGACGCAGAAAGGCAAAGCGCCTTTTAGAAAGAGTGGAGCAGGAAGAGTTAGACTCCCTGGTTGGATCTTTATAGACTTATTATAAAGTTCCAGCAATGCAGACAGTGTGGTGTTGGTGTAGAAATGGACACACAGAGCAGAGGACTCCTGAGGTTTCTAAGCGAGTTTGGAAGGGAAATGGACCCAGGCTATTAAATCTGCCTCTTGGTAGGATGATTCTGGTAGGAAATTATGAGAAAGGCTCGTTGCACATGAGTAACTGGGTAAATGGCATCATCTCCACTTTGTCCAAGCTGGTTCACGAGGCCTGCCGTGCCGCCCATTCATAGTCAAAAGGCCTCATGGGAAGGGAAATGAATCGTGTTGAGCAGAAGGTCATTTGGACATCACTGAACTCTGAAAGGCCGCAGGTGACTTGGCCAAAAGCAGCTGGAGAGGACGACACGTGTGTGGGGATGAACTTCGCAGTCCCAGCTTGGATCTGGCTCTGCTGCACGGAGCGTCAGTGCACTTGTGGGAGTTGTCACTTGATATGTCTCTGTAGCATTTTAAAACCTTTTTCAGCATTCTGGAAGCTTTTCCCAAACCTTTTATTTTTTTTATTTTGAGTCAAATTACTGTGTCTGTGCTGCTAGTGATAGCAAAAAAAAAAAAAAAAAAGGTGATTAAAAACGTAAATGTAGGGTGGTACCTGTGGCTCAAGGGAGTAGGGCGCCAGTCCCATATACCAGAGGTGGCGGGTTCAACCCCGTCCCTGGCCAAAAACTGCAAAAAAAAAAAAAAAAACTTAAATGTACAAAATATGGGATTTGTTGAAATCAATTAAATGTCTCAACTCAAGGATCGAATAAATAAAATGGAATTGCTGTCAAATAGTACACATCACGTGATTCATTTTTTATTACAAGATCTGGGATTGATCGACTAACAAGGTTTGCTCCAGGCAGGTGTGTGTGTATGCAGTTGTCTGCCTGTTTTTACTTTTCCACCATAATTTGAATTATTTTTTAATAAGAAAAGTAAATAAAGCCACAAAAGAGATATTGCAATAATGATCTAGAATTCTGTGGTTTTTTCCTAATTCATCTTTAATTAATTATAGCTAAACTCCCTGATGGGCAGTGCTTTCGTGACTTTATAAGTTCTGCAAATTGGTCAAAATGAAGTTTTATAAAATCACTAACATTTGTACTTTACCAACACTTTATAATCCTGTGTAACTTTTTTAAAGTAACTGTGTGGTTGGAGTTGCGGGCAGGCTTTACTGAGCTCCTGATTGTTGGGTGTTTGTGTTGTTTGAAAATGTTTGATGCTCTGAACTGCACAGTGGGGTAAATGGCAGAAACTGAGCTGTACAGAGAGGAAAAAAAGAAACAAAAGCAAAAATAAGGGGGAGCCCTCAAGGAGCAAGAATGGCTGACGTATTTCTAAGGATATTCTTTTTTTGCAGTTTTTGGCCGGGGCTGGGTTTGAACCCACCACCTCCGGCATATAGGGCTGGTGCCCTACTCCTTTGAGCCACAGGCACCACCCTCTAAGGATATTCTTTTTCAGTCAATTATCATTTCAACTAA